GGCAAGCCAGGTCAGGCCAGAGACGATGACGAGGGAGAGGAGGGCGACGACGACGACAGCGATCGGCGGAGAGGACGAAGCCGAGGGCGACCCCGACGACGAGGACCACAACGACGGCAAGGAGGACGAACTCGACGACAGCGACGGCCCACGACGACGATGACGACGACGACGACTCTGCCAAGGCCGAGCATTTTCTCCAGCGCGTCCCGCGGCGCGCCTGGTTCAGCGGTGCACCGCTCCTCCGCCGGCGGCTCAAAGGTGGGGCCCTGAGGGATGGGGCCCGAGGGCCGAGTTACCTCACACAGTGAAGGTTCAGCCTGAGATCCATTCTTCCATCTTCTGACATGGTGACTACGGCGTTGGTGGTTGGAGCAGTGTGCAAATACAGCTTGGATTGTCAAAGTATGAAGCCAAAACCCTGACCACTAACGCGTAATCTCAATGGTGCTTAGCAGAACGGGGGTAATACCGTCCAAACGCCATAGATACACACGTATGTCTATATGTGTATATATATATATATATTACGAAATAGCGGTTAGGCCTGATTGGATAGCATCTGACTGCGGAAGAAGACAGTAGTAGCCACCATCGCTCTAAACACCAAGCCGTGTCTGAGCTGGATGAGCCCGAAGATAATCGGTCCACAGGAAGGACGACGGCAAATTCGCTCAACATGAATCCCCAGATCCCTTGGGGGGTCGAAACTGACATGGGAGCCACGTCCAGCCGTGGCGACGAAGGAGACCTTTCTCCCCCCTTCCTGCTGGCCAGAACCAGTGCTGGTCCACCTCAGCCCATCAGCAGGCTCCAAGCCTCAAACAGTGAGGGTTCAACCTTGGATTCCTTCCCCACCCCCCACCCCAGATCCCCGACGTCAAAAATTGTTCCATAACGTCGGCCCCCAATGGTCTCGACCCATTCCCTGAGACCGGTTCCTCATCCTGAGTCTTTATCTGAAGGTCCCGAGGCCCGGCGAGGGACCCCAGACACCGAAAACGGCGAAAAACCTCATGTCACGACTGTATTTTTCCTCGACGGGGTCTGGGCCTCTCGAGGGCCCCATCCCTCAGGGCCCCGTCCTTGAGCCGCCCGCTCCGGCCCGCTCCCGCAGCGCCGCGGCGCACGCGCGCGAGGGGCCGGCCGCGCCCATAACGCACCCCCTGGCCGGTCGCCCAGTGAGTGCGCCGCCGGACAAGCCCGGCCGCGCCCGTGCTGATCATCGGATGCCTGATGTTGTCGGCCGCGACGGACGAGATCCAGGCATGATCGCGTCGTAACAAATCAGGCCGGGAGGTTTTGGCCAATTTTGGCCTCGGGGGCCCTCGCTGGGCCTCGGGACCGTCAAAAAACGACTCAAGATGAAAAAAACGATCCCGGGGAAAGGGTCGGGACTTCCAGAGGCCGCGTATTGAACAAATCAGGACGTAGCATGTCTGGGCATCGGTCGCTAGCGACCGATTTGGAGTGCCGATCGTGGAGAGGAAGACAGCAGGGACCATGGCCAAGACTGATGGCGAAATCATCGAGTAAATCTTGGTTACAGTCCACCTTTGTCAGCGTTGAATCGTGGATCCTCTTCGAGAATCGGCCACGGCCAACATGGCTACAATCCGCACCGTGAGGATCCCGCGAAGTCTTGGTCATGGCCCCCGTGTTTCTCTTCCCTCGAGATCGGTCGCCACCGATCGCGACCGAAAAACTACCCCAGACATGCGACGTCTTGATTTGTTCAATACGCGGCCCCTGGAAGTCCCGACCCTTTCTCCAGGACCGGCTTTTCGTCCTGAGTCGATGCTGACGGTCCCCAGGCCGAAATGAGCCAAAAACCTCCCCCCCTGATTTTTTGGGTTACGACGCGATCATCTCTGGGTTTCTTCCCTCGAGATCGGTCGCTACAGGTCGCGACCGAAAAATTACCGCATCCAATGGTCTGGCTTTAACAGCAGCCCCGCTGGCCACCCAAGAGGCCAAGGAGGGCCCCGCCCTGTTGGTCTGGCGCGCCGCTCCGCCCTGGCCGCGGTTGAGAAGGGGCCAAGCAGAAGACGCACAGGTGAATACACACAAATTCCAGGATTCCCCAAAATGCTCCTTCGTTTCTGGAATTTCGTACTCCCCCCCACTTCTAGAGGCCTCCTAGCTGGGGTCCTAGTAGATGGGGTCGGAGGACTCGCCACATCGACGATACATTGGCGATGCATCGGCGATTCACTGGCGACGTCGGTGATGCATCGGCGACGTCGGTGCGGGAAAAATGAGTGACCCACACCGAGCCGATCCTCTGGCCCCATCTACCCCGACCACACTTGGAAGGCCTAGAACTTCCCGTGTGTTCCCCGATGTCCCTGGGAATCGGCGATGAGTTGCGTCTCTGTGTGTGTTGCTTCCCGTCCCCAGCTGTTGGGCGGGGTGGGGCGAAGGCCCTGTGACAGCCTCGCGCCGTGGAGGAAGGCACATCGCGGCGGGAGGTGTTTGATGGCCCGCCGCTGCCTCCCAGGACTCTCACACTGGTCTCCAGGAAAGGAGTGGGTCGGAAAGCGGCTCGGGATGAAAAGCTGGTCCCCAGGAAGGAGTGCACCCGGACCCCTCGAATTATGACAAAATCACGACGAGAGGTTTTCCGCTATGTTCGGCCTCTGGGGGCCCTCGCCGGCCCTCGTGACCGTCAAAAAACAACTCAGGAAGATAATCCAGTCCCGGGGAATGGGTCGAGACCTCCATGGGGGTCGACGTTATGCAAAAAAATCATGACGTCGGGGGTCTGGGCATGGACAACTGGGGAGCAACGCTGTGGAAAAGTACGGCGTCCGATGTCTTGGTCTCCCTCGTCCTCTTCAAGGCGACGGCAGGCCGAAGATGACCTCGGGAAAAAGTAGCCCCGGGTTCTCTGCGAGCCGGCGGGGCTAGAGGATGTGTCGGGCGTCGTGGCCTTTCCAGGGAACTGGAATGCTCTGGGAGCGCCCCAGAAAGAAGTAAAGTCGGGATGCTGGAAAAAGGAACGATCAATCAGGAACGAAGCCAATTATGATGAGGCCCAAACACATCCTGGGTGCACGAGGAGTGCGATGGGAACAACCACGGGATGACCCCAGGAACCACAAGCCCCTTCCGAACCCAAAGCGGTCCTGATTATTTCAACGTCTTGGCTGTGCCCTCTTCCCAAGCCTGTCCGACGCCAACTCCCAGGGGAACTCCTTGTGTTGACGCTCCCCCAAAGGGGGGTCCAAGCCGATGGGTCTCTCGGTGGCGACCACACGGGCATGGCGCGAGGGGGGCGGCTTTCTAAGAAGGCAGCAAGGAGCTGCAGGAGGACAAGTGACTTCTTAGAAACCCTCCCGGTTCCAGCAAACGGTCACTTAGAAGCCATCGCATTGATAACGCGAAGCTGGCACGACGTGAAGTCTTGGGAAATTGAACAAGCTGCCCCCGCAAGCCTTTCAAAGGAGCTCAAAAAGGAATAATAAAGACCAAGAATATGTGAAATGCCTCGCTGCTGTTGGTCAGAGGTGAGCAAACCTGCTTAGAAGCACCCGGGCCCTTCTGAGAAGGCCTCTCTGCCTTCTGAGAAGCCGTTTCTCAAAGGCTGCGAAGTGCTACTGCCGACCGGCCGTCAGGATGGGCGAGCCGCAGGCCCCACCTGGGTGGTCACCCCAGCCTGTGGGTGGATGTGGCTTCCACCTGGTCTTTCGCCCGTCGGTAGGTGTGGAATCCATCTGTTCTCATTTCGCCTGTCCGTGGGTGCGGGCTCCACCTGCTCGCGTCGTGAAAAAACAACGGCTTTCGCCTGTCGGTGGGTGTGGCTTCCACCCAGCTCCCTCTCGCCTGTCGGTGGGTGTGGCTTCAACCTGGGGGCGCAGAATCCTTCCAAGCTTGCTTTCGCCTGTCGGTGGGTGTGGCTTCAACCTGGGCTTCGCCTGTCCGTGATGTGGCTTCCACCTGTTACCAACTGTTAGGGCATGGAAATGGTAAAACTTCACGCCTCCACCCCATCGTCCGCCTCCCTCCGCACCCCCCTTCACATGATCCTTCCCCACATCCTCCCTATCCTCCTCCTCCTCCTCCTCCTCCTCCTCCTCCTGCTCCTGCTCCTCCTCCTCCTCCTCTCCTCCTCCTCCTCCTCCTCCTCCTCCTCCTCCTCCTCCTCCTCCTCCTCCTCCTCCTCCTCCTCCTCCTCCTCCTCCTCCTCCTCCTCCTCCTCCCCCCCTCGAGACCCCGAAGGGTCATCCGTCGAGGCCCCGCCGGCGGCAGGGCGGAGGCGGCGCGTCGGGCCCCGAGCTCAACCACGCGGGCTCTCCCCCCTACCAAAGACCCGCGGCGAGCAGGGCGGGCAGGCCTGCGGCGGGGGCTCGTGCCTCTGGAGTTGCTACCCGACGCCGCGCGGATCGCTCAGCCTTGAACGACAGCAGAACCTTGCCAACCAACCCTGGTAGACGATTTTTGTGCTTCGGCGTTTCGACGTTGGGCGGAAGCGGGGGAGGAGGGGGGGGGTCTGGCTCCAGACCTCTGCTCAGCGCGGCACTCCACGCAGGGGAGGGCAGGGGGGAGTGCGAGGGTCCGCGCCGATCGGCGATGCTGTGGCGACGTCGGCGTCGGAAAACACGGGCTCGACTTCGAGCCGCATCGTCGATGCATCGGCGATGCGGCGCGATCCTCCGACCCCGCCTACCCGGATCCCACCTTAGGAGGCCTCGCATATCGACCCCTGCCTCTACAGAGCCCCGGCCCGCCTCGCCCTGCCCGCCGCCGGCAGGCCGCGTCATAAGACACTATTTCTATTACCCGCGCGGCCCACGCGCCCGCCGAGGCCGCGAGAGGCCGCTCGGCGCGGCGAGGGCCAGGCACGCATTGGGAGGTCGGAAAAGGGGTGTGGCATGAAGGCGTGTGGTGCCAATCGCGGACTTGTAATGTCGTCTGCGATACAAACAAAAAAAACACCGCCATCTTCAGCAGTGGCACCACACCCCCGTATACCACACCCCTTTTCCCACCTCCCGCGCGCACACGAGCACGGCCGCCGCGGCCACCCCCCCGGGGGGGTTGCACCTCAGTCGCGCCTGCGGCGCCTACTGTGGCTGCGGTCCTCCGGCGCCCGCACACGCCCAGCTCTCCGACGATTGAGAGGAAGAAAGAAAGGCATACACTTATGTTGCCCCCATCGTACTTCAGGACCGCATCCTAAAAATTATTTGGAGCACCCAGAAAAATATCGAGGCATTGTCGAACGAGTATCGCCTCCTAGGGCCCGACACGTGGAAACCCATAAGTTTCGGTACTATTTGGGTGATCGGAAACTCTGTCTGGTGAACAGGGCTAAAGCAGGCTCGTACATCATAAGCATCAACATAAGCTTGTGGCGCTCCGCAAAGATTTCTTGGACCTGAGCTAGACTCCTAGATCCCCCTCCCTGTCGCGCGGGGCGCGCCAAGGGCGGCGCCGGAGGCGCCGCCAGGGGGGCCCAGCGCAGATTCAAGAAATCCGCGCGGAGCGCCGAAAGCTTATGTGTATCGGGTTGCTTCTTTTTCGAACGATGGAGACCACCCAAACGGGGTCCGAGTACATTCGAAACCAGCCCAGAAGAGCACCCCTCGAGAACACGAGACCCTCCGTCGCCCAAGACACACAGAACAGCCAAGGGTGCCTTCCGCAGGATGCACAGAATCACCCAACAAAAACACGAAAATCATGAGGGTACACTCCCCAGACCGACCTCGATCTTAACGACGATCCGACTGTAGACGGGGCCAAAGGATCACGCCAGATCACCAATACATCACCAGTGCGTCGGCGACGCCGTCGTGGAGAACGTAGTGCTCCGCATAGGGAGTTGCGTGCCCGATGCGTCGGCGATGCGGCGCGATCCACCGGCCCAATCTACAGTAGGAGCTCGGCCACGTGAAATCTTCCACAATAAGCCCAACCCTGGAACCCCAGGACTTCAATTGATTGTTGTTGTGGGAACGTCGCGCTTTCCATCGCAAAATCATCGAGACCCAGGAAGCCCAGGGTACTCTGGAGGCTAGCCGGGTGTTTCTTGGCGTGGGTCCCCACTGCACCGGGACCTCATTTGAGAGGCCTGTTGAGACGATGTATTGAAAGGGCCCAGGGACACACAAATAAATTGGCACAACGAACAGGATTCCCCATATCTTCCAAAATTTGTTGGGTGTTTGTCATCCCCCACATTTCCCATATTTTCCCCGATTTCCCTGGGAGGAATCGATGACTTGTGTCTGTGTGCTCTTTTCCCTCCATATATATATATATACTAGAACCATCGCGCGCGCTTCGCGCGCGCTCAGGTTCTAGCCCAGGCCGGGGGGGCGCTGGACGATCTTGGACACCGCTATCAAGCACAGGCGCGCGACGGCATATGAGGAGCTTCTGGGGTGTTCCGCATGCTTCGTCAACTGGCTGTTGGAGGCACCTCTTGGGTGCCTCTTGGGGGGGCGTCTGAGGGTCCCTTGGGGGCATCGGTTCTGCAATCTGAAGCCGTCATTGGCCGTCTTGGCTGCGTGGAGGTCCGACTTGAGGCCACCTGCGGCCAGATGGAGGCAATCTGGAAGCCTCCCGGGGGCCTCCTGGAAGCAGTTTTGATGCATTTGGGGCACTCTTGGGCTATTTTCAAACTTCTTGGACGTCTCCCAGGGGCCTTTTGGGCCCTCGGGGAGCTTTTGGGGTCCTCGTCGGACCACTTGGGGGCCTCTTGCAGCTTCCTGTGGGCCTTGTGGGGGGGCCGCTCTGCTGTTGGGTCGCGTTCCCCTTCTCGGGCCTCTCTTGGGGCTCTCGGGGCCCTCTCGGGCCGTCTTGGGCGCCTCAAGCACCGTCTTGGGGCCCTCGCGGGCCGTCTTGGGGCCCTCTTGGAGGCCTCTTCCTCTATGTGGGAACGGTATTGGAAGCCTCTTGGGCCCGTCTTGGAGCATCGGGATGCCAAAAGGCAGAGAAAAAAAAACGTCAAAGCCCAATCGTAAAAGAATGAGTTGTGCCTCTTGGGGCCACCTTGGGAGATCTCTTGGAGCCTTGTCGGCCCTCTTGGGAGCTTCTTGGGGGCCTCTTGGATCCGATTGGGGGCCTCCTGGGACTTCCCGAGAACCTCTCGGGGTAGAAAGTTCGGATTCTCGGTTCATGTTTCCCTTCTTGGGCCTCTCTTGGGGCCGTCTTGGGGCCCTCTCGGGCCGTCTTGGGCGCCTCAGGCACCGCCTTGGGGCCCTCGTGGGCCGCCCAGGGCCCTCTTGGAAGCCTCTTCGGCTATCTTGGAGCTGTCTGGGAGGCCTCTTCCTCCTCCTCGTCCCCCTCCTCCTCCTCCCACTCCAGCTCTCTCTCCTCCTGATCTCTCCTCCTCCTCCTGCAGCGTGTTCCGGAAGGCTCCCGCCGGAACATGCTGTGCACAAGTGCTGTCACTGCTCCCGCCACCGTGCCCTGGGTGGTGGGTCAGAGGCCTCATGGGTGTTGGTTTGGATCTCGTGGTTGGCCTGTCGGGGACGTCGTGAAGGCAGTTTCGCAGCTTCTCGGTAGCCGTTTTGGGACCGTTGTGGGGCCTCCTCGGGCTGCTTTGTGGCCTCTTTAGGCCTCGTTTGGGCCTCCTGGGTGCCTCTTGGGGGCCTCCTGGGGCCTCTTGGGGGCTCCTTGGGGCCTCCTGGGGCACTCTTCAAGCGGGAGGGTCGAATTTTGGAGTCGTGGTCCCCCTCTTGGGCGCATCTTGGGGCCGTCTTGGGGCTCTGTTGGGCTGTCTTGGGCGACTCTGGGGCCGTCTTGGGGCCCTCTTGGGCCGTCTTGGGGCGCTCTTGGGGGCCTATTGAGCCGTCGTGGAACGTCGGACAGCCGAAAAGGCTGGAAGGCCAAAATCGTTCGAAAACCTTCGTAAACTTGACGACTTCGGCCCTGGAAGCGCTCTGGAGAGGCGTCTTGAAGCGTCGTGGGGTGCCTTGGGGGGCCTCTCGGGCCGTCTTGGGCCTATCTTGGGCGTCCTGGAGTGGTCTTTCGGCGACTCGGGGCCCGCTTGGGCCGTCTTGGGAGCCTCTGGAGGCCCTCCTGGATTATTTTGGACCTCCCCGGCCGCCCCTCCTCCCGTGGGGGGTCGGAGGCGGCGCCCTCCGAGGCCCAGGACGCGGAAACCCTTTTAAACACAGGGAAAATGAGCCCCAGTAACCCCATGGAGGCTTTTCGGCGCTCTTGGACCGATGGGAGCTCGAAAACGCGAGAAGCCAAAAACATTGAAAAGAACATTGAACATATACGATTTGGGCCTCTCCGGGCCGTGCCGCGATACCTATCAGACTTCTTGGGGTCTCTTGGAGGCCACTTGGGAGCCTCGAGAGCCGTCGGAAGGCTGACTTGGGCTGCTCGGGAACGTCTTGGGCCCTCCTGGAGCGCTGTGGAGGCTGCCCAGAAAGGCTGGGGCAGCAGTGCCGGGAGCATCCCCGAGATGTGGCCATATCTTTTCAGCGCGTTCCAGGAGCATCTTCCCGGAACGCGCTCGTGGCAGGGCGCCCACGTCCGAGGACGTTGGCATAGGAAACCGCAGCGCGTGATCATTCCAGCGCGTTCCGGCGAAGACCGTCCGGAACGCGCTTGGGCAAGCGCTGGGTTTGAGTAAGGCGAGTGGGAACCGTTCAGGCAGTTTGGGATGCTCGGGGCAAGAGGCGGAAGCCATCCTCAGAAGACATGCAGTCTTCCAGGAGCCGTCTTGCAGAAAACAAAACAAATGAGACCCTGCAGTCGTTCCTGGAGCCGTCTTGGAGCCCTCTTGGGCTGCCCTGGATCCTGTTGGAGCCCTCTGCGGAATGGTCTTGGAGCCCGCGCCGGGGACCTGGAAAATGTCCGGGACCATCGCGGCGGCCTCCGAGGCCCGGGACGCCGAAACCCAGTGAAAACACAGCGAAAATGGGCCCCGGTACTCGCATGGAGGGTCGGGCAGCTGTTTTCGGGCCCCTGGGTTAGAACCATCGCGCGCGCTTCGCGCGCGCTCAGGTTCTAGCCCAGGCCGGGGGGCGCTGGACGAGCTTGGACAAAGCTATCAAGCACAGGCGCGCGACGGCATCTGAGGATCTTCTGGGGTGTTCCGCATGCTTCGTCAACTGGCTGTTGGAGGCACCTCTTGGGTGCCTCTTGGGGGGGCGTCTGAGGGTCCCTTGGGGGCATCGGTTCTGCAATCTGAAGCCGTCATTGGCCGTCTTGGCTGCGTGGAGGCCCGACTTGAGGCCACCTGCGGCCAGATTGAGGCAATCCGGAAGCCTCCCAGGGGCCTCCTGGAAGCAGTTTTGACGCATCGAGGGCACTCTTGGGCTATTTGAAAGCCTCTTGGACGTCTCCTGGTGGCCTTTTAGGCCCTCGGGGAAGCTTTTGGGGTCCTCGTCGGACCACTTGGGGGCCTCTTGCGGCCTCCTGTGGGCCTTGTGGGGGGACCGCTCTGCTGTTGGGTCGCGTTCCCCTTCTCGGGCCTCTCTTGGGGCTCTTGGGGCCCTCTCGGGCCGTCTTGGGCGCCTCAAGCACCGTCTTGGGGCCCTCGCAGGCCGTCTTGGGGCCCTCTTGGAGGCCTCTTCCTCTATAGCCTCTTGGGCCGTCTTGGGGCATCGGGATGCCAAAAGGCAGAAAAAAAAACGTCAAAGCCCAATCGTAAAACAATGTGTTGTGCCTGTTGGGGCCACCTTGGGAGATCTTTTGGAACCTCGTCGGCCCTCTTGGGAGCTTCTTGGGGGCCTCTTGGATCCGATTGGGGCCTTGGGGCCGTCTTGGGGCCCTCTCGGGCCGTCTTGGGCGCCTCAGGCACCGCCTTGGGGCCCTCGTGGGCCGCCCAGTGCCCTCTTGGAAACCTCTTCGGCTATCTTGGAGCTGTCTGGGAGGCCTCTTCCTCCTCCTCCTCGTCCCCCTCCTCCTCCTCCCACTCCAGCTCTCTCTCCTCCTGATCTTTCTCCTCCTCCTGCAGCGTGTTCCGGAAGGCTCCCGCCGGAACATGCTATGCACAAGTGCTGTCACTGCTGCCGCCACCGTGCCCTGGGTGGTGGGTCAGAGGCCTCATGGGTGTTGGTTTGGAACTCGTGGTTGGCCTGTCGGGGACGTCGTGAAGGCAGTTTCGCAGCTTCTCGGTAGCCGTTTCGGGACCGTTGTGGGGCCTCCTCGGGGCTGTTTTGTAGCCTCTGTAGGCATCGTTTGGGCCTCCTGGGTGCCTGTTGGGGGCATCCTGGGGCCTCTTGGGGGCTCCTTGGGGCCTCCTGGGGCACTCTTCAAGCCAGAGGGTCGAATTTTGGAGTCTTGGTCCCCCTCTTGGGCGCATCTTGGGGCCGTCTTGGGGCTCTGTTGGGCTGCCTTGGGCGACTCTGGGGCCGTGTTGGGGCCCTCTTGGGCCGTCTTGGGGCGCTCTTGGGGGCCTATTGAGCCATCTTGGAACGTCGGACAGCCGAAAAGGCTGGAAGGCCAAAATCGTTCGAAAACCTTCGTAAAATTTACGATTTCGGCCTCTGGAAGCGCTCTGGAGAGGCGTCTTGAAGCGTCGTGGGGCGCCTCTCGGGCCGTCTTGGGCCTATCTTGGGCGTCCTGGAGCGGTCTTTCGGCGACTCGGGGCCCGCTTGGGCCGTCTTGGGAGCCTCTGGAGGCCCTCCTGGCCCATGGGGGGTCGGAGGCGGCGGCCTCCGAGGCCCAGGACGCGGAAACCTTGCAAAAACACGGGGAAAATGAGCCCCTGGTCCCCCATGGGGGGTGGGGGCACCTGTCCTGGGGCCCCCGGCCTCGCCCCCAGGGATATACATATATATATATATATATATATATATACATATATGTATATATATATATATATACATATATGAATATATATATATATATATATATATACACACAGGTTGTTTTCAGTCCGAGCGTTTTCTCCTCGAGATCGGCCACCGGGGCCCGTTGTCGGGGGCCCTGGAAGAATGGATATCCGGGAAGGGAGCCTCTGGGGCCGGCGGGAGCCCCCGGGGCAGCCCACGGGACAGCCATGATTTTCGGGGGGGGGGGGGCTTTTCAAAGAGGCGACCTGGCAGACAGGGGGGGCTTGAAGAAGGCCCCTGCCCTCTCGGGAAGGCCCCCCGCCTGCTTCGAGGCCGCCCCCCTTGGGGACACCAAGAGGTGCGCACCGGTTCCGCTATACTCCCCAAACCTCTCCCGGGGCGCGTTCTGACCAGAGCTTCGAGGCGAATCCGGCGGTGGCGACGAAGGTCCCCCAGGAGGCCCCAAAAAAGGAACAGGCAGCGGCATCGGTACCTTTTCCCCGCTGGGTCCTTCTTGCGCTTGTCGCGGTCCTTGTCGCGGTCCCTGTC